CACTGAAGTAAAGCAAGCGTTTTGTCAGAGACATGACTTTATTATACAAGGGTACCTGCATCCATTGGATGGAAAAGAAATAATAATAAAGTTCCCACACTGAAAAGTGTTTTCCACATTAAGCAAATCCACTTACCTAGACCAATCCAACCACTCCTTTTAATTAGGATAATTACCAGAGGCAGTAGCAGGAAAAAAAAAAGAGATTTGCAAAGTGATGATTCAGGGAAAGTACAGGGCACAATTCAGTGCCACAAAATTAGCAGGGCACAAGAAAGGAGGGAGGGAGCCAGGACACAGGCCCTCCTAAGCCTTGGCCCTTTGTTCTTGTTTACATAGCTTCGTTGTAATGGTTGGAAGAGGTGGGTAAAGGCTTTTCAAGCCTGAACATTTTGCTTGCGTGCCCCCTTCTTATATCTCTCAAGCTCTCTGTGAAATGGAAAAGCCTTTCCATCATTACTGCAATAGTAGCACGCACAGTAATGTTTCGGCCAAACTTACAGAGAGCCTATAGAAGATTTAGAAACCTCAATTTCGTTCCTCAAGTGGGCAGGGGGGCACCTGGATTTTTGCTAAAGCGTTTGTGGCTCCATTTGCAAGGCAAAGGCCAAGGAAGGCTAAATTTGATCCCAAACACATTTTAAAGAGGAACCTCTTCCTGCCCTCCTCCAGCACCACACACAAAACATAACACATGTTTAAACGTTATTATAAATTCTTACTGAATACCAATCACTTAAGAGCTTTTTGCTATACGCATTTAAAGATTCTTGCTAGACATTCAGCTAAAAAGCCACTTGAGTGCCTAAGGAAAATATATATGACTGCACACAAGAGATTCTGAACACCCTGGAGAATAAGTCAAGAACATGACTTCTTGCCACTTCTAAATGAGCAATTTTGGCTACTTAGAGGTGCTGCAAGAGGTAGCTAGTTTACGGAAACATATCAAAATTAGCAGAGTTGTGACATATTCAGCTGGGCCTTAAAATAGTGTGACATGGGATATTACCTGTATTCAGTGAAGAGCTAAGCCATAACGAGACTGACACAAATCTTTCCTTCAATGATTAAAAGCTCCCCCCCCCCCCAAACAAAAGGTCAGGTTTGTTCATATAGGGCAAACAAAAACAGGTTCAGCTTCATCTCAGTTTGTGAAAATACATGCAATAGAGACTGTAAACCTAGTAAGAGACCTGAGAAGCCCAGTGCCGGCCTTTCCAGATTCTGCTGTGCGAGTCTCCAAGTGCCAAAGTCCTATCAAAGAGTTGCATCAAAGCTGTTGTCTGTGCAATAATTTCAAACACCAATAGAAAAGCAAGAGTGCCACACAACCAGTCAGCGATACCCAAGTGGTTTGAAAACCTTCTGAAGGTGTCAGCTTTTCAAGGCGGTCTTTGTTGTTCAAGAACACAGTGAGGATGAACAACTGATCCTTGTCTTACTTTTTCAGGCTTGAGTTTCTTTACTCCAGTATATTCAAGACTATGCATGCTTTTGCCATGCTTTTCAATAGAATCTTACCTCTGCAAGTTTCAAGAGTGAACATTGAGAGAGCTGCTGAAACGATTAAGCAGAACTTGCTTACCCCTCTTCATGCAGCTGGCAAGGAAATTCACGTCATGCAAAACTTCATCCTACCATCATGCTACTAGGTATACACACCTATTGACAACGTGCACTGGACGCAATTACAAATTGTATGCAGCTCCTGACACAGTGATACTACAATACCTAAAATCATATTTACAGAATCACAGAATCGTTTAGGTTGGAAGGGACCTCTGGAGATCATCTAGTCCAACCTCCCTGCCCAAGCAGGGACCTCTAGAGCACGTTACCCAGGATCACATCCAGACGGGTTTTGAATATCTCCAGCGAAGGAGACTCCTCCACCTCTCTGGGCAACCTGGTCCAATGCTCTGTCACCCTCACAGTCAAGAAGTTTTTCCTCAGGTTCAGATGGAACTGCCTGTGGTTCAGTTTCTGCCCGTTGCCTCTTGTCCTGTCGCTGGGCACCACGGAGAAGAGGCTGGCCTCATCCTCTTGACACTCCCCCTTCAGATACTTGTACACGTTGATGAGATCCCCTCTCAATCTTCTCTTCTCCAGGCTGAACAGGCCCAGCTCTTGCAGTCTTTCTTCAGAGGAGAGGTGCTCCAGCCCTCTAATCATCTTGGTAGCCCTCCGCTGGACTCTCTCCAGGAGTGCCATGTCTCTCTTGTACTGGGGAGCCCAGAACTGGACACAGTACTCCAGGTGAGGCCTCACCAGGGCTGAATAGAGGGGCAGGATCACCTCCCTCGACCTGCTGGCAACACTCTGCCTAATGCACCCTAGGATCCCATTGGCCTTCTTGGCCACAAGGGCACACTGCTGGCTCATGTTTAACTTGTTGTCCACCAGCACTCCCAGGTCCTTCTCGGCAGAGCTACTTTCCAACAGGTCAGTCCCCAGCCTGTACTGGTGCATGGGATTATTCCTGCCTAGGTGCAGGACCTTGCACTTGCCTTTGTTGAACTTCATGAGGTTCCTCTCCGCCCACCTCTCCAGCCTGTCCAGGTCCCTCTGAATGGCAGCACAGTCTTCTGGTGTGTCAGCCATTTCCCCCAGTTTAGTATCATCAGCAAACTTGCTGAGGGTGCACTCTGTCCCTTCCTCCAGGTCATTGATGAATATATTGAACAAGACTGGACCCAGGACTGAGCCCTGGGGGACACCACTAGCCACAGGCCTCCAACTTGACTCTGCGCCATTCACCACAACCCTCTGAGCTCGGCCATCCAGCCAGTTCTCAAGCCACCTCACCGTCCACTCATCTAGCCCACACTTCCTGAGCTTACCTAGGAGGATGTGATGGGAGACAGTGTCAAAAGCCTTGCTGAAGTCCAGAAAGACAACATCCACTGCTCTGCCCTCATCTACCCAGCCAGTCATTCTGTCATAGAAGGCTATCAGATTGGTCAAGCATGATTTCCCTTTGGTGAATCCATGCTGACTACTCCTGATCACCTTCTTGTCCTCCAGATGCTTAGTGATGACCTCCAGGATGAGCTGTTCCATCACCTTTCCCGGGATGGAGGTGAGGCTGACAGGCCTGTAGTTTCCTGGCTCCTCCTTCTTGCCCTTTTTGAAGACTGGCGTGACATTGGCTTTCTTCCAGTCCTCAGGCACCTCTCCTGATCTCCAGGACCTTTCAAAGATGATGGAGAGAGGCCTAGCGATAACATCCGCCAGCTCCCTCAGCACTCGTGGGTGCATCCCATCGGGGCCCATGGATTTGTGGATGTCAAGTTTGGGCAAAAGATCTCTAACCCGATCCTCCTCAACCAAGGGAGAGTCTTCCTTTCTCCAGCCTTCCTCTCTTGTCTCCAAGGTCTGGAATTCGTCAGGACTGGCCTTAGCAGTGAAGACAGAAGCAAAGAAGGCATTCAATAACTCTGCCTTCTCTGTATCCTTTGTCACCAGGGCACCCGCCCCTTTCAGCAGCGGGCCCACGTTTTCCCTAGTCTTTCTTTTGCTATTGATGTATTTGAAGAAGGCCTTCTTGTTGTCCTTGACATCCCTTGCCAGATTTAATTCCAACTGGGCCTTAGCCTTCCTTGTCGCATCCCTGCACACTCTGACAACGTCCCTGTATTCCTCCCAAGTGGCCTGTCCCCTTTTCCACATTCTGTACACTTTCTTCTTCTGCTGGAGTTTGGCCAGGAGTTCCTTGCTCATCCAGGCAGGTCTCCTGTCCGCTTTGCTCGACTTCTTCCTCAGAGGGATGCACCGATCTTGAGCCTGGAGGAGGTGATGCTTGAATATTAACCAGCTCTCTTGGACCCCTCTTCCTTCTAGGGCCCTACCCCAGGAGATTCCCCTAAGTAGGTCCCTGAAGAGGCCAAAGTCAGCTCTCCTCAAGTCCAGCGTTGCAATCCTACTCATTGCCCTGCTCCCTCCTCGCAGGATCCTGAACTCCACCATCTCATGGTCACTGCAGCCAAGGCTGCCCCCAACCTTCACCTCTCCAACTAGACCTTCTTTGTTTGTTAGTACAAGGTCTAGCACTGCACCTCTCCTCGTTGGTGTCTCCACCACCTGAGTCAAGAAATCATCAATGCTTTGCAGGAACCTCTTTGACTGTTTATGCCTAGCTGTGCTGTCTTGCCAACAGATGTCAGGGTGGTTGACGTCTCCCATGAGAACCAAGGCCTGTGATCGTGAGGCTACTTCCAGCTGTCGGTAGAAGGCCTCATCGATGACTTCCTCCTGGTCAGGTGGCCTGTAGTAAACCTACAAAGTAGGTTTACTAAACCTACTTTGTAGTAAACCTACAAAGTAGGTAAAGTAAAATTTAGTGTCCGCAATGCTGGTAGATCGCAGGGTTATTCACGGATTAACAGATACTTTAGCACCTCCCATACATAAATGCCAAAATCTCCAGGAAATTTATCCATATGGAGAATTGACTGAGAATTGTAACTATGGGTTGGGTTTTTTTTTTTTTTTCTTTTAAACATATAGGTGAGTTGAGGGTTTTTTTTGTTTTTTTTGTTTTTTTTTATTAAGAAGTACACAAAAGATTTGTGCTTTGAATCAGAAGTAGGGGAAGGAAATCTACAAAACTCAGGCTATACCATTTGTGAAGGTAGGAGACACAGGTCTGAAACACCCAAAGCAAATAGCGTAGGAGAAGTAATAATACAAAAAACAGCTGTACCAATCCAAAGCTCATCTAGTTCAGCTTACATACACCAGCTACTTGCTAATCAGATGTCTTAAGAAAAGCTTAGGACAAACCCAAATGCAAAAGAGAACACTGTGAAAAGGGGGACATAAGCATAGCACAGCATACAATGATTAACAATCACTCCCCCCAACACACACACACACACACTTCAAATAAACTGCACATACTGTATTAATAGCTTTAGGTCATATTTAACTCGCATACACTCCGGAAGTTGTAGGTGCAGCTACTGCTACAGTTAAAATAACATTTCACATCTACTCACACTGCATCACGAGATGCACCATGCAAAAGCAGCAGCTCAACGATGTCCACGTGCCCATTTCTGGCAGCATCATGAAGCGGAGAGTCGTTCTGATACCCAGTAGTATTCACTAGCGCTCTGTGCTGTAGCAACAGCTCCACCACCTCTTTGTGCCCGTGATTACATGCCTCGTGCTAGTTGAGCAAATCGTAAGTAGTGATGAAAAAAAACACAAAAGAAACAGAATTAAGAAAAAGCACCTCTGTCACACAAGTTAATACATTTATTTTTAAACGTCTCTCAGTAGATGGTCAGGGAAGATGATGCGAAGACACTGCATTACATTCCTCAGGTGAATTAACTTTGGAACCTGGTACCAATAAAAAACATAAAAAGGAACTGAACAAAGATCAATTGTGTGCAAATCCGCCTATAGAAAGAACAAAGCCTTCCAAATTACACACTCGGTCAAGGGTGCTCTTCAGAAAAGAAGTCGTGGCTGAAAAGAACCTTTTAGTTATATGTTGTAATTCAAGCGTGCACCACTCTTCACTCAACTACTTGATACGGTTCCAAAACGGTGAAAACAACTGAGGGCATTAAGAATGCATAAAACGTACACCTTGTCTGCAACTGCATCCACAATCATTTTCTTCATTTCCAGAACCACAAGCTGATAAACTCGACATGTCCTACCCCAGCAAAGGAGAGGGGGATTTGGGTAGGACAGTAGTTGCTAATAACAAACCCTTTTACACTTGTTTATTGTCTCTTCTTCACTTCGCCCATATTTAGGTGACAATGAATTATGGGAAGGGGACTAAAACATAGAACAGGATAGAAGGGATGACATGAACGCTGATCAAAAGATAAGATGACAAAAAAGCCTAAACCCTCACCAGTGGTGTCCAGCCAGCATTGTCTTTAACATTAGGATCAGCCCCATTTTTCAGTAGCTGTTCAACAGCTGTTAAGTCGCCCTGCACAGGGAAAAAAAAATAGTTATCAAAAGGTAACAAAGATATACTATGACAGCAAAAGTTAAAGAGATTAATTAAGTTTCAATAAAAATGCCTAAGTCTCCCATTCAGAAAGTGTCAAGATAAAAATTCAACCGGTTTGGAAACCATCACTATTTGCCAATACTGTTTGTGCAGAAGTACCTACATTCCTTATTTAAACCAGGAGCTGTGCGAGTAAGGCATAGATGACGGTCTTAATTCAGAATACACAGCTGCACAAGCCTGTGCTGGTGACACTATTCACTAGAAGTGAGTGCAAGGAGTAAAGTCAAGGGCATTTATTCCGATGTTGCATGTCCTTCACAATGGAATTTTTCAAATTATTCTAAATGACTGGCTAGAAACATGCATAGGTAAAATAGATTAATGTGTCTGACAAGCTTCTATAAATTGTAGTTCCTCAAGTCAAAAGGAAAAAGAAAGAGTTTCTACTTTACACTGCAACTATACCTATGTTGAAGCAGACAGAACCTTTATCTCTGGCAGTTGCTCTACTGCAACAGCTTTCATTGCATGTCTACATTTGCAGAAAAGTCCTTTTTTTTTTTTTTTTTGGAAAAGTACTATTCTCCAGTTTTACTATAAGGGATGAGATTTATGTAGGAAGGGGAAACTGATGCAGAGATTATGGGAACAAGAAAGAGCCCGAGTAGAAACAAGGGCAAAGCAAGCAACCAGGCAGAATTTGTAAATCCAAAGTTTTGATACAATTAAAGTCAAGTATAGGAGAGAAAGTGGACAAGACCAGACCATATACAGATGCAACTGTAAACAGGCAAGGAGAAGCCTCCTGGGGGAGCTGAGGCATGGAAGTCTCCGTAGTGTGAGTCTTAAGAAGCAGGTGAAGGAGGAGTCTAAAGAGACTGGAAGCAGACAGACTCTGTCCCCCCAAGCAGCCTCAAGTTCCTGCGTGGCTTGCCACCAATGCACCGCCCCCATTTCTGAAACCCAAGTTAGCCTTAATCTTTGCCCTTCAGTTAGAGAAAAAAGAAAATACTAAGACGACAAACTCTGCTCAGCAGAAATAAATCCAACACACAACAAACGTAAACTCAAAATTCACCAAAAAAAAAAAACAGGCAGCTCAAAATCACTGGCTTTATGGCAGTCAAGCAAATTAACATATCAGAGATAAGTTTCATGTGGTATATTCACAATCTAGACGTCCCAGCAAAATATTACATTTCAAGCAATTGAAGAATATGCTGCTCTGCCAGAATACTCTAGGGTTGCAAGGAAACAGGCATGTATCAAATCTGAACAGTTATTCAGCAGCAGCCTGGAAAGCGATCAACGTTTTATCTTCTTCTATGGTCAGGAGATGCAATTGCCTATAACGAGCAAAATCCGAGCTTTTCTGTTAAAGTTCAGTTTGCAAACATCCACCGCAAGGGTTTGACATTTCAACAGTACTCCTATAGAGCAGCAAGCGTAGCCAATAATTTGTGTGGGCATTAGGTAGTATCACAGCTTTTCAGACCAGCTGCGTGAACATTAGTTTGCAAAACACTGCTGTAGTTTTAATAAAGGAAATACTGCTGGCGGGCGCAAAAGTACTGGCAACGTACACAGAATGAAAACTAGGTCCAAATCAAAATTAGAAAACTGGGATTTCTCAGTTTACAGACAAGTTCTCACTGGAGGAGGGGATTTGTGAGAAGTTAGAGAGAAAAATGCGTCATCACCACAGTTGTAAACAGGACTTGCTCTCTATCACTTGCAACCAGCCCTAAGAGCGACAGAAAGCAAAGCTATTCTTCCAGTTACACTGTACAATGACCGGATAGGTGCTGTCAATCAGGATCACAAGCGATTTGTTAAGAAAATTGCTCACAGCATAGAAGTCGGAAGAAGACATACAGCCAGACGTTAAGTTCTCAATTCAGATCCGTGGGCCATGCTAGGAGGACGTGCCTTTTATCCCCTAAGAGGTTCTTAAAATCATCTACTCTATAGTGAAAGTTTGGTGTAAAAATAAAAGTTTAAAAAAATTGGAAGAGCAGCTCTTTGGTAGGCAAGTGTTAAAGCGTCCCTCCTGCAGGGTGCGTAACATCTGTCGGTGATCCAAAACAGCACGTGCTTGACACATTGACTAGTCCTATTAAAGCTGATACGATAACTCGTACACTTACATGTTTTGCTTGATTCCGAACCAGGTTTTAGCACCTAGTAGGGTGCCAGCCACAAATACCTACATACCTTCCATCTTTTCAAGTCCTTCCTCCAAAACCAAGAAAGCGCAAGAGACTGCACCTACACTCGGCTATTGTTTTCAGATTACTAATTCAAACACGCTCCAAGAAGTTGTGCTTTGACTACTACTGAAATAGATTATTTTGTACACTGAGTCCCTTGAGCTTACTTGCTCTTGCAACACCACCAAAATCACCAATCCCAAATACTTATGTATAATGACAATAAAATGATCCAATCAGTTTGCTCTTCCTCTGCTACAGGTTAGAGGAGCCCTGAAACAAAAAAAAAAACAACAAACCACAAAACAAAACAAAAAACAAGAGAAGCAAGAAAGGCATTGGGGCCATCTGTTGGCAGATCTAGAAGAAAGCAGCACATAAGCTTCCACAGAGAAGGGTCTTTTCACAGCTATTAAAAACACTTCCCTCCCAGGGAGAATTCAGATCCTGCAGATGCTGACAGTACAAGGCCAGAAAACCACCCTCACCTGGCTTGGCCCGTTCCTCCCGCCAAGTCCTAATATCAGTTACGTCACAACACCAACAGACAAACGGTCAAGAACTGCAAATGTACTTGTAGCCCTATTTCGGTTTTCCCCATTTTACTCTTTACTCCTTCTATTAACCATATATATTTGCTACCTAACAGTCACCTTTAAATTAAGTCAATGAAAATGTACTCTACCAGTTCAAGAAAAAAAACCACCAAAGAATTAGAGCAGTACATGAAGATGAAGCTGAACTTGCACCATATAAACCAAGCGCTAATCCCTTCATCTGCTAAAAACTGAGTAACTTCTAACTTTACGTGAAACAAGTGAACAGAAACTCTCTCAAAACCCAAATACTTTTGCTTGGTAAGTTACGGCGCAGGAGGAGGAGGGAAACTACCTTATCTACAATTCATGGCAAGAGGTGAAAGAGGACAAAGACTGACCAGATGCTACGGAGAGATGTAGTTTCCTCCTTCCTCAGAGAGAGGACGACTCTGCCTAATTGATTCTAACTGAGGGCACAAAAATCGAAAGCTTCTCCCAGCTATGTCCTAGTCACGTGTTTGTAACACTGCAGCCATTACCCTTGCTGCACTGCAGTTTATTCTTCTCCTTCATGGCATTTATAACAGCAGCAATAGCACGCTGTGAAGCTCCCCATCAGCTCCCTTGTCGCAGCAGAAGGCAGAAGAAACGCAGGCACCAACAAAACTGGAAAGACTTGACCAAGGAAGTATAAGGGATTTTTGTCTCCATAGCAGATTTAAGGCTCTGCTTAGAATATCAGGAGCGCAACAGGTCACACTATATTTTAACTGATCGGAAGTTTTACCTTTAACGACTATGGAAGAAGATAAACATGACTGTGTTTATTATGGGAAGAGCTGCATTTACTTTGATTTATTAGTGTAACTCAGCATTAAGCTCACCCCCACTAGAATCTGTTCTTGAGAACCATTTTAAATTCAGTAAGTTTATCATTAGAGTAGAAGTAGTAAACTGGGACAATCCCTCAGAATCATTTGGAACAGCACAATACACTTAGTTTTAATGCCCAATAATGATAATTATCTCTCTTAAATAAAAAAAGACAGAACTCAATTAACTTTCATTAAATTCAGGATATTAGACCATAATACAGATTCATTTTATAATTAATGAAGTCCCAGAGAATTAGACTTCTCTCCATTTTGGAGAGAACAGCTACAAGACTTCTTCCCATTACACACATGGAAAAACACGGTTGGCTATGGAAACCAAAAAATATTTCTTATATAAGACAAATCAGGAAGAAAAATTACTTCTTCCAGAAACAGAAGATCTGATAGCTCTTGGGGTTTTTTTTTTTGTTTTTTTTTAATAGTGTGAGCATACATACAACATAAAGCCTGATATTTTCAAGGCCAGCTCCTCTGAGAGAGGGATTTATCAGTCCCCTCACTTGCTACATGTAGCAGCAGGCTTCCTACAAGTCAGGAGAATGATCTGGAAGCACACAGGCTGTACTGAAGAAACTTGTAAAAAAATATATATCTATATCTATATCTATCTTTTTCTACGTGCTTGCCACCTCCCCTCAGCAGATCCCTGGCAACAAACCACTCGCGTTTCTTGCTGCTTTGCAAAGGAAAAAGCTAGCCATACCCATCACCAGTATTTCTCTGGAAAGACTAACTCCTCACGCACGTGCTGCCTAGAGCAAATTGCTCTTAAACCCCATTGCCATTGGCTAGTAACTGTGTACTCGTTTACTGGCTCTCAGGTAACGCAGTGATTTAAGAACGCCCTACCGTATGCCTAATCATGAAGCTATGCAACCAGAGCAAAGAGCACAGATAAGAGGAGATGATCCATACTGCCTCCTTCCACATATGAGGAGCTGAGGTTCAGAGACGGTGGAACAACTTTCTCTGAATCGAATCTGAAGCTAAGTAGCCTTGGAAGCTTGAAGATGCTGGTAACTGAACTAAGACCATAACCAGAATAGCACTCTCCTTGCCTTATTTTAACTACTATACTTACAAGACAGTAGTAGCTGCTACAGGACCACCATGAAGGTCTAAGGTAGTTAACCATACCTTACTAACAAGCATCGCTTAACGCAAATAGAATTAAGGGATTAATAATACAGCAGCACTAACGAGGAGCAGAATCAACTTCTCACTTCTAGCTCAATAAGGATAAACAGAAAAAAACCAAACAACTCCACCAGAGAGGATTCATACCCCGGACTAAAAAAATAAAATAAAATAAAACCCCACACCACAGCGAGCAACAAATGCCACCTCTTATTCAGGTGTCCGCCCACCCCATCAGCCCCCACTACAGCTGGGGTTCACCTTTTCACCCACCTAAAGAGTTTTACCCCTTTGTCAGACAGCAAAGCCAACAAGCAGTGCCAGCTATACTGCTAACCTTGGGCAGACACAAAGGACAGACGCGATGGCTGCTAACATCAACCGTTTAATCTTTCCTTGTTCGTCTTCAAATTCCTCTGCGGTCAGCCACCAAGCGCTCGGCATATCATTGCGTTTACTCCCAATTTCCCAATAAGCGGCAGAGACGTTCTCTTTTCTTAGATGAGGCGCTCGTGTGCCAAACACAGGTGTGGTTTCCAGCAGTGGTACGTGTGAGAACTTACCAAGGTAGCCCAACTTTCAAGGCAGCCATGATAATAATGCTTAGAAATTCCCAGTAAAACATGGGAGCATAATTTGTAAACAGTGCTTTAGTAATTAAAGTGGACTCGCAAAGAGAGGTAGCAATAGCAAGAGTGGCGGCTTGTTAAAATAACAGAGAGGGGACGCAGTTGTTAATCAAGAGAATTCCTTGTCTCTACAAACCAAGTGCTAAATAAATATCAGCCTGCTTACAGGTGAATCATACCTATGAGTGCAGCCATTTCATTAACAATACAGTATCTCTATATTATGATTTAGCACAAAGTATATTTAGGTTGCCAGGGTACCAACTCTTTGAAATTACTTCACAGGAAGGAGCCGCCATATTTTCAGCCCTCACTCGCCTATTTGGTGCATTTGATGAGTTTGACTGCAAGCACTCAGATTCCCTCACCCGGGGGCAGCTTTCACCTAGCAACAGGGGAGAGAAAGCCATTGCAAAGCCCGTGTAATCCTACCTCTGCAGAAACTAGCTAAGACAATAACTTAACAGCAAGATGAGTGGAGGTGTCACTGCAAGAATAAGATGAACCCTACATAAAAGCAAAGTCTACAAAGAACATCCTAACTCTGTCTTTATGCTCTCTCTATATTATCTGTGGGGACAGCGTCCAGGCTAGGCTACCGCAGAGGAATACCAGCGTGCAGCATTTTCTTCCTCTGGAGCTAACACTTGCATCAGACGGAAATCTCAAAGATTATGGAATACTTAAGGATAACTCTGTGCAAACTTAGTGGATATTATATAAGGAACTCAAATCCTGTCCTGTCTGTGCTGTTGGGTCAAGCTGAAACTGAGCAGGATCAGGCGGTGAGATCTAAAAAGCCCAGCTAAACTCAAAGTTTTAATGAATCACAAAGATCACTTTACTGGCACATAAGGTCGAAATATTTGATTATCACTTCCTAGAACCCATAAGCATAATTGACACTGAAAAAAAATTGAAACTCAAAGATCTTTAAGCACTCCCATAGTCACTTCTTTGCGAAGACAAAAAAAACAACAAAAAAACATATTAGGCTGGGCTCTCTCTACCTCAAACATCAAGATCACAAGAGTCACCACCACCTCCCCCTCACCCAAAAACGGGATGTGTTGAAATGAACGGTTTTGAGGTATTTTTAATACAGCATTGTCTTTGTAAACCTTTGTTTTAAGTTGAAATAAAAGATGACAGTCCTACCTTCATGGAAGCAACATGGAGCAGAGTCTCTCCTTTGTAATTTCTTCTGGCAATCGTTTTATTACCAGGGGACTTCAACACAGAAGGACTGCATGGTATTCCTGTTTGATTACAAGTCTTAGAAGTAAGTGGAGTAGAGGGAGCTTTTGAAAGCGAAGGACTAGTTATTTCTCGAGAGACTGCAGGGCTTCTGGTCTTCATTAAGGTGTCGCTAGCGAGTTTTGACACAGAGGAAGAAATACGAACCGGACTTTTGTTTTCAGCTGCTGGGGAGATGGGATTGCCCTGAGGGAACTCCTCTAAGCAAGCCTCTTGAGGGCACGAATTCCTAATACTGTTCCTCTCTGATCTTCTTGGTCTTTTAGATTGAGAAGTAACTGGAAATCTGGATTGCTCCCGTCCACGTTTTAAAGGTGTAACTTCATTTTCTATTGACCGTGGTTTCTCTGGAGCACAAACTTCTTCCTTGCTGCCTTGTGCAGGACATGCAACCTCCCCAACAGCTTTCTTCTCGGAGGATCTTACCTGTGGGGATACTTCCATATTCTTGCTGCAGCCTGACTGCTGAAGTGTCTCCTCAGGGCTATTTGGTTCTGGGGTGCAGAGGACTACTGGCTGACTGCAAATAATCACACACTTCTCCTTATTGGGGATCTCCTCAACTCCTCCTTTCTCCTCAAGCTTCTCTAAGCCCCACACTTTGTTGATGTCTGCTAGACGTTTTTTCTTCATCTTCTTACTCAGCTTCTTTGTTGGCTTTTTGGCCTGCTTGGAAGGCTTTTCATGAGGAGGGGAAGGAAAGAAATCATAAACTGAAGGTGGGTCTTGACAAACATCATTGCTTTTAGTTACTGGCTGGCTCTTGTTCAGGATGCATCTAATCTTCCTACTTCTTGGGCTGAACCACATCTTTATCTGTTCCTTCTTACTCTTTGTGCTACAACCTGGGTCTGTTGGTGAAGATTTATCTTCTGCCGAATCTAAGCGGGGCAGGGAAGAAGAAAAATAAGTTTGCAAAGCACTCTTCTGAAGAAGAACACGCACAAAGAGAAAAAAATTAGAAAATGTAACTGGCAAACGGTTATTAAATACAACCTATGACTACCTTCATTTCCTCTGATGAGACATGTAATGGCTTTAACTGAGCTGGCAAAAAATCAATAAAAGGAAGAAATAAAACCCATAGCACTTAAGGGTTCAGCGATCCCAAACGCAGCTAAAGTTGCCCCGCTAGGTAAGCGAGCATCCTGGGAGGGAAGTTTCCTCAACACCTTGGGTTCACGAAGCAGCACATGCATGTCAGAGTTCTGACTGAGTTATAGAGAGGAGAGAAAATGGCCCTCTAACTGGATTTTACGTGGAAATAGGTTTAACTAAGGAGAAAGGGAAAGTTAAAACTTGGCTGTGCATATACACGCAGAGCACAGATGCATGTTTTTCCTAAAGAGATTTTGGAAGTGCTAACAATTTAAAAGTGAGAGCAACACTCAGATCAGAAAAACTTCAGAAAAACAAATGATTTAGTTAACATTATTTATCCATTTGGAGATGCACCATCCTAGCCAAGTCTCAATACTTCACACACACCCCACAAACAAAACCAACACACACACACACACACACACAGAAGATTAAGATTTTAATTTGACAACATCCCTCTCGGGGCTGACGGGCTAAAAAGGAATCCTTATAGAGCCTTTCTTGGAAACGTGGCTTGCTTTAGGTTACTTGGACAAGTTTTCTGAGGTAAATGTGAGGCTTATTACTGTGTGAAACTTAGGATCTCAGGCCATGTGAGCAGTGAGCATATCTCATCCTTTTGGTTGCCTCCAGCTGCAGGGACTAAACTACCGTTCAGAGAAGTCTCCTTAGCGATGTGTAATTATCAGAATCACAAACCCAATATTAATTTTGCTTAGTGAGGCAGGTAGGGCGTTATTACTTTTTTAAATAGTGCTAAGACCAAGACCTTTTTTTTTTTTAAACTTTCTGGAAATAAAAACATATGCAAAGTCTTGCGTATTAAAAGTGAAAGACTCACTGCAACAATGTATTACTTTCATGTCAGTGAATTAACTGATGATAATTTGTCTTCTCCATACCTTCTCTTCTATTTTTAGTGTCAGTAACTATAACCCGTTTTCCACACCAAGTGGTAGTAAGATCACAATATCGGACAAAACACAGTCCCAATCCCTCACCCACAAAAAACCCAAAGTCTGAAATTATTTCCCTGAAAGCAGAATTGTTTAACTAGTCATTCAAAACCAAAATAAACATTTCAAGGTTAAATGTTTCCTCAACCTTGATTTAAATTACCCTACTTATCTCTTGAATTGAAATACGCGAGGTATTGGGAGACTCAGCTAGAGCGATATGTAAGGCATCAAACCAAAACTGCCTTTAAGAATACAGCCTGAGGCTAGCTAATTGATCATTTGGGTATCCCATAAGAACTACAGCACAGACAAGACTACTGTCACGTACAGAACTGTAGCTATTTGGTTTTCCTTTAGGGCAGGGCTTGGTGCAAACGGGAAAAAGCATTAAAATTGAGACTGAAACCTCATAACTAGCTAGCCTTCAGAAAGATCTCATATCCAATTTCATTCCGACAATAACATCTAAAAAAAGGAAGAGCTTGATTGCAAACAGATGCAAAATATAAAACGCAGTTACTATTTACTTGTCTTGCCTTCACTGTTTACACAACTAGCAGATTTCCTCCTAAAATATTTACCTTGCTAGAATCAGTCATCTCCAAGTGCAAGAACGAACCAGCTTGCAAAAGCTATTTGTGCAACAATTTTGTGATGGCCGAAATTTGCTTTGATGTGTACGGTACGTTAAGACTTTAAAGTCCAAGTAACAAATGAAATCAAAGGCACTGTCCTTCAGAAGTAGGATCCCAAGTAGCATAACCCAATTCAGTATGCACACTGGAAGCTATGGATATACCACTGCTGGCATCGTGAGAGCTTGTAAAAAACTGATCACAAGAGTTCTTAAACTGAGCTGTTCTTCACTGGTTGCTCAGCAGGGATGTAGTAGTCAGGTTACTGAAAACCTGCTAAAAATACACCAAACATATACTCTCCTAGGAATATTTTTCTTATATGCAACTTCTTTAGGTATATAAGGGATGTAGCATGTTTTAAAGGAGGGGAGGCATTCATGGAATATGATCAAAAAGTCATCCATGTTGTGAAAGAGATCTCCCATCACATAGCAAGAAGGCAACCATGCAAACCTAGGGAATCTCCACAGCCTACTAGGGAAGTTACTGGTGTTTCTACCATGATGTTGTTTCTGAACCATTCTCCAAAAATTCCATCTTTCAGAGTAATTGGACCTAATATTGACTTTATTTGATCAGCTCTGCATAGCAACTGGAAAGAAAGGTTACTCTTATACTCTGCTTCCTGTTTCCTCCATTTCCAAATGGTATTCAGGTAGAAAAAAAAAAACAAAAAAAGGAGAAGTAATAAGGACAAATGGCAACTCTACCCCCTCCCTGAAAATCTAATCCTTTGATGGACCCAAAGCTGTGAGAGAGAGAGAGAGGAGACAGTGCTAACAAACTGAAGGGAAGTTCGTGCAGTTTAATATGTAAATATTCATTTATATAAAGAGAGTATTATCTGACAGCTAAGTGCATTCAGTTAAACTGCCTTCAGAGAAAATTGTTCATAGAAAAATCGATCCGAAGAAACTCTTTGCCTCCAAGTTGGAAGCCAATCAGAGCTCGCAACTCAACTGCAATAAAAAAAGACCATCTATGATTAAGAATTAATTCAGTTCATTAATACATAACCACAAGTCACCCCCACCCCATCCCAAAATGTTCATGCACTGAGACGCAAAGAGAAATCAGTAGAGCCTTCCTCATTACGTTTAGATTACTTTACGCACTTGCAATAGTGTAAAGACTAGCCGCAATAGCGGTCAATATTAGAACCGGCCTATAATCATTGCAATAAATTTATTCACCGTTACCTGTGTACTAAATGTAACATTCATATAAATGATGGGCTAACTGAATTGTCTCTGTTCACTAAAATTACTTATTTGCTCATAATAAACACAAGTTTCCTCATGCTTGCATTTAATGAAATTCAAATCCCGGAGCGTTAAAAGGCTTCAGAATAGACAAATATATTAGGAGCTACACAGTGCCCTTGCAACTGGAGAACTACATTTCCGAGTTCTGCTGTGATGCAATAACAGGCTAGAGCAGGAAAAAAGGAGCAATTAGAAAATGTGGTTTAGCTATCATTAATCTGCATCAAAGGAATATAATGATGCACATTGTGTGCCTTTCAAATTATTCTCTATTATGGGTTTCAGAACAGAAGTTGAGAAATCTCTTTGACAAACTAGTCCCTTATTAAAAATCAAAGGGAAGTGCTTTGGTACCATCTGTGCAACATTAGTGCCTTCACTGAAGAATGATTATTTTGCAAGTTAAGTATTCAACACGGGGGGGGAAAAAAGGGAGAAATTCCAGCTATTCAAACACTCATCTTTAGCTATTATGAAAAATGTCATAGTATACATGAAATGCAGTGTAATCTGTTACAGCAGGAGTTCAACATCTTCCCCTCCACATCAGTAAATGAGAAGCTAGATTGTGATGCCAGAAAGGCTAATCACAGTTAATCTGTCTTACTGTCCACCACAAGCTTAAGAAAATTTTACCAACACCTGCAAGGTCTAGTTCTATACAAGGAAGAGGGAAGAGAAAATAAAAGACTTTCAGTTTGACTCTATTAGTCTGAGGCAGACTATGTTATGAAGAATAAGGTAAAATCATCTATAAATGCTTGTCAGAAAAATTTACGAGAATTTTTTTTTAAGTACATGAAACAGAAAAGTCTGCTGAACTACTTAGAAACTCATTTTGAAAAGCATTACTGCAAATCAACCTTCTTTATCTCCAGTATGCTGAATACTATGTCCATGATTCAACAAGTTTTTCCTAATTACCCACCTTAATTACAGTAATTTTACATTTTAGAGTAAATGCAGGTAATAAGTCTCACTTGGAAAGGGAATCATCAAATATGGTGGAAATAAAGCCCTGCAACTCCTCAGCGATGGCAGACAGGACGTGAAAATAATCCAAGGACTAATAGTTTCTCTCCTCCTCCCAAAGGAGGAGAGGACATTTGTACTCTACAGAGGGCCAGAAGAGAGGGACAAGACTGTTCAATACTAGTCAGTAGCTACTGCAGCAACTACCATATTCTCAGGACAAAGATGCTTAATGTCTTTCTGCTAGAAAGTTTGTAGACATCCTCAAAACATGTAAGTACTCGAGATTAGCCACAGAGTAATTACACATTGGAAGTTCTATCTAAGATGTACTTAACCTTGTAAAACAAAGCATTCCAGATACTTCACTGGCTAAACGGATCATCATCAGATTTGGAACTTAATTTGGAACTTAATTACATACACACAAATTAAAAATTACACCCCCATCTCACAGTGAAGTAAACTGACTACATGTATTGCTACCTTCAGGATGCTTCTTTCGCTACTCATTCTATTTCAGATCATTTAATGTTGGGTATGAAACCTCTTCAGAAAAAAAAAAATCAGATCCTTTCTCTTATTAGATTTACACCATAGTGAAACCAGCAACTGAGGAGATACCTTTTCCTTTTAAAGAGCCGGACATAGGTTGAAGAAAAGTTTGGACAAAGAGGTGTGCTCTTACAGACTTATCAAATCATGTTAAACTGAGATGCAGTTGCTGATTGCTTGCATGTCCAAATCTGTTTCAGCATAAAGTAATAAAAATCTGTTTAAACTTGTCCAACATTGAAATGAACTTGGAGCATCCACACGTACATCTCATCCAAAGAGGTAAAAACGTTTTAAACTGCTCCAACTACGTCCACAAGAGCATTTCTTTCGTTCTTTGTCTTAGGCCTTCCTTTCTCAGGGAAGAGGAACAGAACTCTTGCCTGGACTGAAAAACCTTTCTCCAATATAAAGTAAGTACCTAACAGCAGCTGCCAAAGCTAGTGGCGTCGAAGAACAGGGAATGAAAACTTGTCCTATAAAAAGGGCAAACCCAGAAAGTCGACAGAAAGGCCTTGCCATAGACCTTGGTCCATGTAACCTCCTCAGCGCTTGAAATACTCAGCTCCAGGCAGAAGAGAACAAACTTTCCTTTTTCTCCCGTGTTCCGTGTTGCTTATGAGCACCAAAAGCTTTGCCAGAGCATTGTTCTGGCTCAGCTGGAAAAAGTACACTAGTTCAAGTAACAGGAGAAAGACTCATTCTGGCTTCCATTTTGTCAGCTGTAATTCTACCAGTAAAAGCTCAGGGCAATAATAATTCATTCTTTTTGAGGGAGCTGCCCTTTTTTTTTTTTTTTTAAAAAAAAAAAAAAAGGGCAGCTCCCTTACGGATAGATTGGCGCCTGACTTCACACCAGCCACAATTCTCAAGATGTCTTTGACTCACTTCACTCCTCAAAACCTCTAGCTCTAACATTGCCAACATCTCATCTTCAAAGCCAGTCAGCTTCCCGCTCCCGTGGGTAACTACCCTTGTAAAGGTACAACACTAGACTGCAGTTTCCCTCACCTTGCCGCAGGCTAAGGGTGTAACATCTAACAAACGAATTTGGAGATGCAGCTTTTGCTACCCAAAGCTTGCATTTTGTAGCCAGCTCCATGTTCATTCCATTTGCCGACTCCCCTGCAGGCCCTCTGGTATTATTCTATCACGTCGTTTGTTCTTCTTCCCTTTAAAAGGTAAGTTTTAGCTGTTTTGTATAATCTCTCCCAAACCACTTGCCATTTCTTCTTAAAACAAACACGCGGTTTGGCAAAAAACTATCCCCGTCCCAGTGGGAGACCAAGTGAGATCCCTCTCTTATGAGCTGCAGAACATGATGGTACTGGGCTTGTTATACTCAAAATATTCCACACCTGTCCTTTTAAACCACAGGAGCTCTGCACGTTTCTAAAGAAAACACAAACACACACCTTGCTGGGCTGACTAAATCTGTCCTCTTAGATTAAAAGATGGGTAGTACGACTCATTTTCCTCAGAAACCTCACTGTCAACAAGGATCTCAAACAGAAGCCTCCAGACAAGCCACAATTGTCTCAAAACAAAAGCAAAAGACGCATAAGACAAATACATAAACACATCCCTATTGCAACTGCTTCTCTCTCTTTCTTCCACAGAAAGATTGATTTTCAGTCTGTTTCCTTTACTGGAACATAAATTACAATTTCTGACCTTTCAGGGAGGAAGAAAAAAGTCTGCAGGAATCTGGTAAAAATACAGGGCTCTAAGAAATGTGCAAGTCACCCCTTAACAAGAAAAGCCCCGATTCTCCAAACTCATAAACACATTTCATTTTGTAAATATTAACTTCAAGACATTTATGTCCATGGAGAGCGACAGATCTGTCAGCGCAGTTCAGAGGGGCAAAAAATCCTAAAGGATTAGCTTGAAAAACCTCTGAAGCTACAGCACGTTGTGATTTGTCACAGCGTGACACATAATTGATTGTCATTAGAGATGTGGACGTTTACTTACTGCATCCAAAACATTTATGACAGTGAACTATTATCACCTCTCAGATCTTTCTCCATAACTAAAGTACGAATCACCCAAAAGACCATTAATCCTTAGCACAGGATGAAGCCTACAAGTGATAAAGTAATCTCCCGCATCAGCTCATAATTTTAGCTCTAAATAAAACCACCTCCATAAAAGCAGACACAGAAACTGAAGTTTTAAGTTAAAACACAAGGAAGGCTACAAGACAGCCTCATTTTGTTCTTTGGTTTAACCACACCATGCAAGTCTTTTTAGAAGTACTACGGGGTTAAATGTCTTATTTAAATTCTATATAGTGAAACTTCAGGCCAAAAGTAACTCATGCAAATTTCTCCATTCGAAAGAGTTCTCCAGAATGTCTAAACAATAACAATAATGGTAACAAGACTGCATTTGAAATACTGTATTTATAGCGTTACAAGTAACTCTTCTCAGAGATTCTCTTCCAGACATACTTTTAAAAGCCTTCACCTCTTAAAAATGTTTCCCTGAAATCCCATTTCAGCCACCATCTACATTTTCTATGCTCCAGAACATTTAATCACCACAGGATTTTATATCTATATAAAATTTATTCCTTTGCAGTTTGGCATAGACTGCTAGCCTCAACGCTTTAGTAATAGCTACGCATTTTGATGTCAACAAAGAGCTATCCCTTAAATGAACATGAAGGTGCTGATGGGATTAGACAAAAAAAAAGTTCTCATTTAAAGAGTATTTATAGTAAATACATTAAGAAACAACAACAAAGGAAGAATTACCTTTTCTGTACCTGACAGCTAAATTAACGTTTTCTAAAACTTGATATTATCAAAAAAAGCTTCTTTATGCTTGCAGAAAAGACATGAACTGAAATGAGTGTAGGTGAATATTTTTTTCTACTTTGTCAATCAGTCTGAAATTCAGTAAGGAGACGAATTCCCACAATATTATCTCCGCAATCTTCTAACGGTCAGCAGTGACAAGCTTCCATTGCAGGAAACTAGCCAATTGTTAGGGACCAGAAGGACATAAATGAACCAAGACTTGCTTCCTCCCCTTTTTAGGCAGGGAGCACAGACTGGGTTAGGTTTTCACATGTGGTAACCTACGATTACTGGGACACCGTGTATGCCTCTCGGTGCACGAAGATGAGGGAGGCAAGAGAAATCCTTCAACAAGGTTACACTGCAGAATATTACACATTTGCACTCCTTTAGGAGCACATGAGATAACTCATGCCCCTCTAGTTTGTGCAACTAACTGCCACCTGACTTAGGAATGTATCCTCCTCTCATCTAATTTTGGAAGACAGATTCTAATGAATTATGGACTAACTTGCTCATGCAGATTTTTTAGTAAAACAGATTTGAAGAAGGAGCAATCCACACAGACAGTTCTCTTCAAATCAAATTTTCTAAACATGATTCAGAACAGCCTTCCAGAATCTTAAAAAGGGCTGCACTGCTTGTTCTCTAAAAGAATGTGAAATGAAACAGAGCAGTCTGGATACAATGGATGTCAAAAACCCAGATTTGCTCTTACCTGAGGTGTCCTCACCCAGTAGATGCCGCAGTTTGCTGCAAAGCTGGATCATGTTATCTAGCTGCCGGTTTATCTGCACATCTTGCACCCAGGCTGGCGTGTGGCACACCGGGCATTCTGTGCCAACGCAGTCGCCCACACAAGATCTGAAAGTCAAATGTAGATATTCATCATCCAGTATAAGATATCTGCTATCAACTATTTCACAGCCAAACGCTCAGCAAGAACCTCCGATTTTAACATTGACAAACTAGCACTGCAAAGCACACAAGACTTGGTCATAAATGCAGGAGAGGATATATTTATCATGACAAATCACAAGAAGAATTAAGCAAGCCAAGTCCAGAGCCTTGTTAGGAGACTGTCATCAAAAACTCTGTATCTTTCAACTTGCACAAGCCGATTAAAATTTTCGAGTTACGCTAAACATCCATTTCTGTTCATTGTCTGTGGTTAACAATTATGCTTGAATAGTTAAAGCTCCATGGTCTTTTACACCTCAGCTGAAGCTAAGGCTCTTCTTCAATAGCCTTCTGTTTTAAAACGAGTGACAGAAAACTAATCCATACTAAACTACCACTTCCACTTGTTTCCACCTAAAATTTCCTTGATATTGTGAAGTTTCACCTGCCTGAACGCTTTTCTGTAAGACATCCCACAGGAATCTGCAGGCATTCAGAGTATTCCACAACTTCTCTCTTGTAAAGTATTCATCTCAGAAGAAGACCCGAGGGAAATCTATAGGTTTACTTAGTAAAGGTCATTTAATACTTGTAGCTTCTTAGTAATACTACTCTCCCCATATGAATCTAAAATCCTTTATTCATTTGATTAGCCCAATGAGAGGACCTTATGATTTGCAGCCTGAATTGCATTATCCAGAGCCCATTGGCATTTTTCAACTCCCACCTATCCTACTAAGGATATGTAAGCTATGACTTCACTTACCCAAGATTAAACGAATTTCAAAAGTCTCCCTTTTTGTTACCTTACCACCAACTAAGGCTCACAATAATAACCGAAGGTATAAAGTTAAATGTTAGCAGACCGTGCTAAACATGCAGCATGTAAGTGACATCATGGCACTGCTATCTGGACAGGAAGATCAAAGTCTATGCACCTAGACTGCAAACATATAGTCAGTTTAGAAGCTAATGGACAGTCATCCATCCCAAAAATCAACTAACAGAATATCACTTAACAATATCAGAAATATTATGACTACTACCGACTTCCTTGAGAGGAGAGTTATGCCAGGGCAGAGAACACTTCAGAAAATCTCTGCCTCTAACACCACACAATCATCCATCTTCAATTAATTTCAAGACGGGAAATTTGTGAGGTAAGAATGAACGCTAAATGTTTGTGTTTGTTCTTTAAGAAGGCTGCATTGAGAGGGCAAAGTGGTTAAGGCACTACTGTGACGAGACACTGAAGTAGAGTTCTTGGCTTTGACGTGTTCTGGATGACACGGACAAATCACTTAGCGCAAAGATGAGAACTGAGCGGCTCTTCTTCTCTAGAAAAGTTGGGCTCAGGTCTCCCAAGTCTGCAAAAGGCAGTGTAAGGGAAATAAGGAATGACTTTTATACCACCACATTTCCTAATTACTTCTAGCTGTTGGTTTTTTACAGTCATTATCCATTAACTATAACTAACTAAGTAGAACCACTCAGACAAAACGGCAGGAACTGATCTTAATAAATATCCTTGCCCATAATAAAACCCATGCTGAGGGAAGTCATTTACATTGTGTGACCTGATTACTGCAGTTCATTACTTTCACATATTTCACCTCATACATCAGAAGCCTTCTCTGGCCATTCACCCACTCCTTCCCAAGTATATTAATATAAGTGTCTTTATTTAGCAATGGATCAGAATAAATTCACATCAGAACACTGAGAATTCAGCCCACCCCTTAGCGAACTTATTTGGGAACATATTAATCTAAGTTTCCTTAAGTTTAATTAAAAAAAAAAAAAAAAGAATAATAGCCAGCGTGAAAGACTGCTGTCAGAGGAGACATTAAAAATGATGACTAAAAGGTCAGACACACAAAGAAGAAAGGATCACTGCATAACAACAACTTGGGTAACAGGAAATAAGCATTCATCAGCAGCTGTTTCCTCCAGAAAAGGTTTAAGACTTCTAACTCACTATTCTTTCCAGCTTTATCAATACAAGCTGCATCTTCTTCTGATGTTTTGAAAACTTTTCTAAAAATACTTTGAAAAGTAATGGGTGTTTTTGAAGATCTATCATCCAAATTACACGGGCGTTATCCAAACTAAAACCACAAGGCTTTAGATGCCTGACAACTACAAAATTACATTTATTAAGCCACCCTTCCACTACCCTGTGGGCCATCCACATTACATCTGTCAAAAAACATTTTATAAGATAGATACCAGCACATTTATAAAAACCTGTACAAGCTTCTGGGGGTTATTTCACCAAGTACTCTGCGGGTAAGTAGTACAAAAGGAACAAAAAAACTGCTTCAGAAGACAGAAGCTTCCACAGCAATTAATGGCCAAATCTAGGAAAGAACCCAAATGCCTGCAGAGAAATAACTCACTTGCATGTCTTTCAAAAGATCCATCCTGGGGCCAATGATGCAAAGGGCATCATTACTATCTTTTAAACTGTTACTCCTTAAGCAGCACAAAAATACATTTCACTACCACTTTAGTCTTCAGGCCTTTAACACCTTAAGCTCCTATTAGGAACGTGTAGCTGAAGACTGGGAGTAAATACCCAGCCAGCATGGAGGGAAGGTTCTTCTCCACTTTTATTGGCACAGTGACTATCATATAAACAAGAGGCAACGCGAATCGCCCAGACCGGATTAAAAGCAGAGATTAGGACATGTTTATGCTCATCTCTATAAAAGGTATACTGTTTTACTGGATGGTTCACATCTGTGTTTCACTGAACCTTCTGAAGAAGTCCAACAGACAACCGTTGAAGGTATGTAACTGTTTTGTTTTTTAAAAAACAGTCTGCATTTGCTTTCGTACGCCACGAACAGCAACGACACACAGGACAGCCAGCGCAGTCCCCTGCCCTCCCCAAAGGGGGCCCCAGGGCAAGAAGCCACCTGTGTGACTCTATGTGTAAGAGTCCGTCCTGGGAAAGCAGGGAATTGCCCTAAGGTAGGCCAAGGGGCAACCACCTCCCCAGACCTGCTGGCTTAGCGGGACATAGCCAACCTAACTCTGACTCTTAAACACCTGGATCGCCTGAGGGACTACACCCAGATGCGGCTTCGCTATCCCAGCACGTTCCCACAGGCAGCATAAGGGAACGGTTACACCGGCAGAGCCGAGGGCCAGCGACAAGCAGCACCCCAACCCTCCCAAGCCGAGGGGAAAACCTCTGGCACCAGCCAGCACCTTCCCAAGCTGCGTTTCGCTTGTGAAGGGAAGGAGGGGAAGGAGATGGACACGACGAGAAGGCCTGGCAGCTGCTTTCCTACGTCGCTGTGAGAGGGAGACCCCCCCCCCCAGCAGACCCAC